CGACTTTTATGAAACGACTTAACCAAATAACCAATTAACTCCATTCAAATTGACGCCAACCTATTTAAATGACGTGTTGAAAACTTTGAAAAAGCATTAGTAATAACTATGATTTCAGATCTATCGATATTGTTCATTGTTACGACTGTCACAACGTTAAAAGATATTCATAATAAAAAATATTACATAGAATTGTAATGTGTTAAAATATATGTGTGAACTTTCGTGGTTTGTCAAAATTCTAAAAATAATTTAGTAATCAAAACAAAAAATATATAAAAATAATGTCATAAGTATGATGAAGAGAAAAACAAGTGATTTGAATAAAGTGACTAATTTAAATTACCATATAAATAATTATCAAATATACAATTTAATCGAACAAAAGTAAACAGTAATTTAAATTTAAAGGAAGAATCACTTACAAAAGTACCAGTGACGAGAAACGATCCAAAATCGCGCGGAGAAAAGAAGCTTCAGTTACACCTGCTACGACGACCACTAATAGATCAAGCGCAAAGACAAACTATTTCTGAAGTACAAGAGTGTTAGTAACGGCACTTTTGAACATTTTTTTTTAGGTAAAGGGAGCATGTCCCATTTTATTTTCCGTTAATTAGGTTATGCTAAGCCATACAAATTGTTAAAATATAAAAAAGAAAAATACTTTGTGTAAAATAAATTAACAAAAAAAATTTGTGTAACAAAAGCTTGAGATACTGATGTAAGTAGTCAAACGACAGCGAACTGCTCTAAAAAAGCTGGATTTGGGCAATTTTCTACATAGGACGAACGGGAAGACATTCCTTAAGTTTTTCTGAATAACATTATAGAAGACCGTGAATTAATGAAACAGAATTGTGAAGCGTGGTTTAAAGTAAATAAAATAACTTTAGTGGATCCGATTCTAAGCGAAACTGAAAATGACGAAGAGTGTTCGGTGTATGAAATTGTTCGTTAGCCTTCAAAGAATAAAGTTGAAGATTAATTCAAAATTCTGAATTTTTACTCGTAAATGAATGATACTACCACTGATGTTCGCTATAAGGCTTGAAATAAATTGGAATCTCTTTTTACTGAAAATAAGAAAAATAAACTAAAGTCCCAAACTTTAATTTTTGAATATTTGACTTCACTATAACTTCTGTGCTTTATTTGATTTCAAATAAATAAATATTTTAAAATGTAATTCTAGTTTTTTTCAAAAATAAAAAAAAAAGTAATAAAATTCTCTAACTCGAAGTCTCCATAAGCCAAACCTTTTCTTTGCAAAATGGTACTTCGAGTTATGGAAGTTTGACTGTATTTTCAAAATATAGACTTAAAATATCTCTTTAATTGAAACCAATTTATTATATAGTATAAAGTGTATTCCAAAAAAAATAGACTTTTTTCTTTAGTTGTGACTTTTAATTTATGACTATTTGTTGTGCTTAGTTAGGATAAATTAAATATGTTTATTAAAAGATAAATTTAATTATGATGTTTAGAAAGTTTTAATACAATACATAAAGAAGCACATCATATCGCATAACCTCTTCAAAAAAGCCACAACTCCAAGTTCGTCAATTTTCAGAAAACGCGAAAATTGTTCTGCAACGTAGTGTCATTACTAACAGAAAAAGACATAACTGTCTTTTAAAAATAAAAGTGGAATTTTGCGTGTTGGCAGACAGGTAAACTATAAGCAAATTCCATATTTTAACTCAAAATTCACGAATTTCAAGTTGTGCATCTTTTGAAGAGTGGCGACATGTTTTAATGTTTCCTGTTTTCATTGTAGTGATTCAATGTTTGCCAATCTAAAAAAAAAACACATACTTTTCTCATGTTTCTCATGTTTTCTTTTGCTCAGATTTTGTCTTTCACATAAGGCGTTTTCGGTGGCTCGCAAGTGTGGTGATAAATGCATGATGGCCTATATTCGCAAACGAGACATTGGCATCACTATTGCAATCTGTCAAATGTGTTGTTTTCACAAACAGCAACTCTTGCAAATGTGCACATAAATCAAAGTACATTTTTTATGAAAACTTATATAAAATTAAAAATTAAAATGGATAGTGAATTAAAAATGTAGGAAATATTAAAATTTCATTTAATAAAAAAATTAATAATAGTTTAGAATATTTATGCAACTAATAAGTTAAAAAATTTAAAAAACTTTTCAATTATACTTTCTTCATGTACTTATATATATTTTTGTATATACATGTATCTATATATACATATTTTCAAAATATTAATTTCCACAGTTTTGTAAATTTTTAAAATATATCGTATCCACAATTCTCAAATTTGTGAAACATTTGAATTTTGTTTACAAACTTTGACATATGATTGCAATATTTATTGGAGCTTCCAATGAAGGTTCACA